TTAACATGGCCCAACCATTGGAGAAATACCCGGAAGTGCCAAGCAAATGGTCTACCGCGCCTATTGGTCGGTTTTTATTGTCAAAATGAGATGTTTTTAATTTATTTTTTAATCGTCACACTTGATTTCGCCGATTTTCTTGTTGCCCTAGCTCAGGGGTCGGCAACCTTTTTGATATGAAGTGCCATTAAAAAAAATATATATGTTATCAGCGTGCCAACGATCGAGAATTATCAAGGGGGGGGGTGTTGAGGAGCTGGACGCTCGTGAACTATCAACAGGAGGGCGGGGGGGCCTCGCTGCGGGGAAGCAGTGTGTGGACCTGTCAACGCAACTTGCATGATACCGAATTTAACAAACACATTTAAATAATTGGTTTAAACGGCATAATAATAAGGACGATCGTCCGTTCTGTGATTCTCCAGAACACACATGTTATGATATTAGGGTCATGCAGAGTGAGATGAGATCGCTGCCCCTTTAAGAGAGAGAGAGAGGGGTGTGGCGTGTGCATGTGTGTGTGTGGATGGTAGAGCGAGAGTGAGGGAGCGTGTGTTTCTTTCTGGAAGTGAAACGAGGCAGCAGAAAAACAGAGGTCTGTGATGTATTTTGTGAAACAGAAGAACAGCTAAATAAATGCAACGGCCTCCCAAGAAGAGCTCGCCTCTCTTCAGTAATTTAAGCTAAAGTGGGTTATTGAACCTGAAGCTTGTTGCTTCTGCCCTCCTCGACTACGGTCTGGGAGCCGACAGGAAAGTTCAACACACAGATGGCCAGTCCGCCCCTTTGTAGCATATTATTTCAATGAGAGATGAGCAGATCGCCACTGGGCTTTCAACTAAAGACACACACAGCCACGCAAAAACTGCGGCATTTGTAAAGCTCCTTATGGGTACTGCAATTTGTGAAGTGCTTTCCTCTGTGATGAAACGATCAGCCCTGCACCACGGAGGAAAACGGCAGAAAGTCACCTGGAGTTAAACAGAGCGCGGGGCCGTGCATGGCTTCCTTCTGCAGGTAACGGGGAGACGCGCTCTGGCGGCGGTCTCGTTCAGGATCCGAAAATACAATTTAAATATTTTGCACACTTATTCCACTTATTCCTAGTGTGCCACTGGTTACGGTGCCGCGTGCCAATGCTGGCACGCGTGCCAGGGGTTGCCGACCCCTGCCCTAGCTGGTCGACACCTCTTTTAGCAGAAACAAAGGCTACATTAATGTATTAAATCGATGTTAATCCATGTGTGTGGATCATAGACTGGTGTGGATGTGGAATTAACGGACGTGACGTTGTGCGATTGCGTTGCCAGGCAACGCAATTTACAAACTCTTCAACTACAACCCTAATTATATTTTAAAACATTTTAGAATGCCTCACGAAATACTTTAATGTAAATTAAAAATGTAAATGTGAAGGGATGTGTGTAATGTGATGATTGACATTATTCACCCACGGATCTATGGGTTGGGGGTATTGTTCCGCACGGACATTTTAGTTAACCGGACTTACTGTTGATGTGAAATCCGAAAATAAATACGTTATACACCCTAACGGTGCACAGCTGATATAAAAGGACTTGTCGTTTTTAAAGATATTACTGATTTTCTTTGAATATAAGAATGTAAATACTGAGTTGAGAGAATAGTCAGGGGATTTGGGTGATGGGAGACACATCTATGGATTCAGAATTTCAATAGCTTACTGTTAAATGACGGATATACCTTTCTGTCTGTGATGTTTTACAAATCAGATATAAGTAAAACATGTGAAATAATATAACAATATCCTGTACAATTATGTGAAAACATGAATAAAACTACACATCTTCAGATGTTATACATACACAAGTGTCCTACACTAATAATACAAAGTTATTATGGCTGTGTGTACCTTGTGTGCACCGCCTAGTGGTTAAAGCACGTTATTGAATTAGTTGTGTATATGATATGTCAATGAACCTTAGAAAATCTTGAAAGGGATATGCAAAATAGCCATTATATACAGTCTTTAATTAACTATTAGTAGAGAATAACGAGTAATGAATATACTTTATAGGGATCTGCAGATAAATGTTTAGTCTTCTCAAGCAGCAACTATCAAATATCTCTCCTGATTGTTGGCACTTGACAATCACCTTTCCCTGAATTTTACTCAGGTGTAACTAAAGCCTGATTTAACGGTTGTTTATATTTCACATCATTAATCAGAATCTGCAAAGTAACTAAAATAAATGTAGTGGAGTAAAAATACCAGGTTAACCTCTGAATTGTAGTGGAGTAGAATTGCTGTTTTGTTTAGTAATGGCTATTGAATATGGAATAAAGGTTTTGACAAGACCTGGTGTAACAATAATCAAAAAGGACATTAAAAGAGCTCCAGATGTCAATGATCTAAACAAAACAGCACACCTGAAATGTATATTTAAATACTTTATTAAGGGCAGTGAATTAGTTTTTTCTGTATGTTTTTCAAATTAGTGTTATCCAGTAAGTGTCATAGACAGTGTTACATTGCTATTATTATCCTTAAAATATATATAAAACAAAACCACTTATGATCTTTTTATTTGGGTGGTTTACTAATGACAGTTAATTCTGTTTCTGCTATTGATGGTTTCATTTTTGTGAAAAATAATAAAATAATCAAATTCAATAACGTGCTTTAACCACTAGGTGTCCCTTTCTATCAGCTGTGCACCGTTATGGTGTAAATACAGCCTATCTACCAATTGGATCAAATATAAAAGTCAGCCGAATTAGTATTGATACTGCAAGGAGACGTATTGTGTGAAAATAAATGTAAGATGTTGTTTAATTGCTGATATATTTATGATCCACGTCACGTTTTCAGTTTTGGCGGCAGTGCTTCCTGTTTGTCCAGAAGTCTTCTCATCAGGGCTCTATAAATACAGAACTACGGCAGATATGTCATATTTAATGCAGCCGAACCGTGTATTACAATGCCGTTATGTAATAACCTCCAAAGAGAAAAGCAAGCAAACTCGGAATAAAGTATTATTGTATTTTTAATTTTTTTTCCGGATTTCCCATCAACAGTAAGTCCGGTTAACTAAAATGTCCGTGCGGAACAATACCCCCAACCCATAGATCCGTGGGTGAATAATGTCAATCATCACATTACACACATCCCTTCACATTTACATTTTAATTTACATTAAAGTATTTCGTGAGGCCTTCTTAAATGTTTTTAAATATAATTAGGGTTGTAGTTGAAGAGTTTGTAAATTGCGTTGCCTGGCAACAATCTCTGGCACTGTTATTTTGGGGGTCGTGGGCTGAAAAGTCTCACCATACTTAATCCTAGACAGTAGCACATGGTATATATTGTACGACTTTGTAATTTTTGAATGTTGATATGTATTCGCTCATAGCCTACTGTGCCTTTCACGCAGACAATAAAAGTGAATTCTGAAATGACAAATAGGTTTATGTTTCAAGTTTATTTGCATTAAACACGTGTTTTTAAACCCTTCTGTTCAAAGTTGATATTTTGTTTCTTAAAAGATTAAATCTTTAAAAACATGCTGTTTGCCATTTTTAAAGTTTGATGGAAGAAAATAAAATATAGGTCACTGACGTGGAGCTTTAGGCCTGCAATGCTTTAACAAAAAATTTTTTAGTTTCAGTTTTGAAGAGTGATATGGATGTTAAATTCACAAATTAGTATGAATAATCTTAAACAAGAACAGGATCTTAAGCCATGATGCCTGTTTTTAAAGTACAGAAACATTCAGAATGCATGACGATTCCTGCAAAAGTTTGTAATGGACCCCTAGTTCTCTTAATTTATAAAGTAATAATAATACATGTGAATGATTGAGCTCATTAGTGGCCTGACTGGCCCTCCTAATTTGGTCTAAAGTAAGTCAATGATGATCATTGTGAAGGGGTGTCCAGCCCATATCAATAACATACCAAACTCTCTCCATTGACTTCAATACAAACTTTTTCCGAAATAAGGTCCCATGAGTCCCACCGGAAGGGGAGGGACTTCGTCTCCCCTTCCGGTGGGACTCATGGGACCTTATTTCGGAAAAAGTTTGTATTGAAGTCAATGGAGAGAGAAAGATTATCTTTCGATCCCGTTTGAATTGTGCCACGAATTACACAAATTATGTTTGTCAATCTTAAATAATAATTTCCATGTCAAAAAAGTCACAGTTTGTCGTAAAACTATTGAAATATAAGACTATGAAAAATACGCAACTAGAAAGATTACAAATCCCAGAATCCCGGGCCCACATGCTGGCTCTTACGGAACCGACTAACTCCCCTCTTGTGTATGTACAGCTCTCAACATGCCCAGACTTGTAGTGATTTTCACCTCTTTTAATACTTTTCGCCTCATTCTGAAAGAAAGACGTGAAATGTGCCAACGTGACGGCCGTCTTGGTGTGTGGTGCGAGACGGGAGATGTAGTTCATTGAACGGTTTCACACAAAAAAAAGTGTTACTTCACAGTTTTACGACACATTTTTTTTTTTTTGACTTGCAAAATTATCTTTTAAATTGACAAACATCATATGTGTAATTCGTGGCACAATTCAAACGGGATCGAAAGATAATCTTTCTCTCTCCATTGACTTCAATGCATAACTTTTCCGAAATAAGGTCCCATGGAGGTCCACCGGAAGGGGAGGGACTTCGCCTCTATAAAAATCTCTGCGAGACTTCCGTCCAGTGTCTCAGTCTGAAGAACGCTACTGTGCTGCTGGTGTGAGCTAACGTGAGTACTTATAGAACACGTGTTGGTTTAGAAAGTCTTAAACAGAACTCCCGCTGTTGGCGAGTGAGCAGTTAACGTAGTGTGACGCAGTTAAAGTTGTGTCTTTCATTGCAAAAGGACGAGGACATGTGACCTCTTTGTCTCATTAATATCTCAAAACCTTGTATATTCTGTGAGCTAGTTATGCGACTGCTTTAAAAAGCCACACTGAAGTGCAAACACAAGCACGTGAGTTAAATGAGGACTGCTGTTGGCTCCACGTTACAACATGAACACGTGTTTCAGTCAAACACGAGCTTTAATTTAATGGTAGCCGCAAACACCTTTTTTAGTTTTCATTTTGAATTGCTCTTTAAGCACCCATCGTAAGAATCTGTCAGTTCTACGGATTAGTTAGTTTTTCCTCAATAAGATGGAGGTAATTATATGCATAGTTTCTCAGCACATTAAACTTTTTTTATTATATTTTTTTAAATGTAAGGTTTAATTATTTGAGGAAAGGATAGGCCTACATGTGTTCTGTATGTCAAAAAAAAAAAAATGCTACACTATGGAGGTTATTTGGGCACTGTGGTAAAAACTGAAGTCTGTCCTATTGGGTTTTGGGGACCGTTTGCCGGTTATTGCGCCCTCTGGTGTCGTTGCAGGCACAGTACTTAAATGCCATTGTCTTCAGTAAACAGTTTCAGTGCAGAGCACGTTCCAATTCATATCATTAGGGTAGATCAATGTTTCAGTGAGTGGAGAGTAAAGTAGCTGAACACGTTATACTGCCTTTTATCTTGTGTACTATGTGTTTGTTCTGTTATTTTTCTCATTATAGGCATATTGACGATGGAAATCACATGACGGCGCTCGCTCTGTGGGCTCAAAACAGGTGTGTATTTCTTGAACTTCACCATGCTCTGCAAATGTACCGATTTTAAATGGAAATGTATTGAGTATGCATCGTGTAAACTTATGCTAAAGCATCATCGGGAATATTTAAATGTGGTAAAGCAGGCTAATCCTTTAATTGTGTTAATGTAGAGACTATGTAATATTATTTATATACACGTTAACAATTTTTAGTTGGTTTAAAAATTGAACACGCCATAGCTTAACTGACAAATCTATCTGCATAAAACAGCCGTGTGTAGTCGGGACTTGCAGCTCTGCTCATTTGCCATCAGCATATGCTGCCAGAAATCATACCAACTCTAAACTCAGACTCCTTTTTTAGAATGTAAAGTAATGAGCTGCTATCATATCTCCACTACTGTGGCCTTCATCATTGGGCACCAAGTGATACTGATGTTTCCCTTGCAGACATGCCCACATCTTGACCTACAACCATGTCCAAGTGGCAGCTCTGGGATGGAGCTGCTGACGGTGCTGCCTCTGGGACTGCAGGTAAACACTGATTCATCATCACTTCATGGTGTCACCCCCCAGCACTAAGTCAGCTGACAGGCTGTGTGTCTGCCTCGGTGTTACAGTGCTGGCAGAGAAAGGCTCTGTGCTGCTCTCAGTGCGCAGACTCTGTTTTAGAGGCTGTTGCTGCTGAGCTGCTGCAGAGCCGGGCCCCACGAGAGTGGCCTGTCCTGCACTCACGCAGGGCCGGCCTAGTGCCGGGCCGCACACCCTCATACAGACACACCACGGGAGGCTCTGGTGCTGTTCAAGTCCCATTTTAAGAGTAAAATATGCAGATGTAACAACTATAAATTGCAGTAAACACGGCTCAAAGGTCCCGCTGCAGCACACTGAACTATGCACGCTTTATATTTGAATTGGATAAATTGATCTTTGTGAACTAATTTACATCATTAGTTAAAGACTTGTTTCCTTTGTGTTGCAGGTGGAGCCAGCAGAGGACAGCACTGAGCTGCTTTGACAAACACTCGTCTTCTCCCAGGAGCAGGACTGGACTAAGCCTGGATAGTAAGTGCAGCTCAGTATCAGTGTGTACTGTAAACCAATGTGTACTCTCATGGCAGAGCCTTCATCTCTGCTGTCGAATTTTAACATTGGAAGAGAAAGCTCAGGACTTTGGCACAGATTCAGTGAAAACAATTTACTAGAGCCTGACTTAAGACCTGATACAAACTTCTGTAATGTTTTACATTAAACTATTTCTGCAGGCTGTCTGCTGATACTGTGCTTTGTGTTTCAGTGTGATGGCGTCAGTCCACCTGCCGCCCCCCATGGTCCAGCACTGAGGCTGTGAACAGGACTTAAACATTGGGTTTAAATGTCCTAAAGGAATTGCCTACCTTATCTACAGGAGATGATTGTCCTGTATAAACAACTGTGAAATGTCTGAATGTTTGTATCGTGTACACATATTCAAATATATGCTCTAGCATCAACTCTGTTGTCTGGTCTGATTTGTGAGTCTAAAAGTTGAGTGTCTTAAATGAGGTGCTACATCTAAACAGGTCCTGGTTCCTTCTGGACTGTTGTTCCACATCTGGTACTGATAGTGTTAGTGGCAGCAGTGTGTGGGACATGGTAAAGTAAACCTGTGTTGATGGTTCTGAAGGAAGCTGTCTTCTGGTGCAGCAGGGATCAGGCTGTCTATTATGGCTTCAGTCTTTTCATTGTGTCAAGTGTAGAACTAGATACACTCGGTAGGCTGGCTTTTCTTTGCCTTTTCAAAGCTACGTTTTTGTAATGTGCCCTCCTGTTATATTCGTTTGTAACAGCAATAATATTCGTGGGTCAATTTGACCCAGTGCATGTAAAATTATCCAATAATGGTCAGAAGCCCCAAAATCCAGATTTTTTTTTTTGTACATAGTTTGTACCTTTTACTATCAATGAAATCAATATTTAGTGCAATTGTGTTATTCACAGATCATGGTTCCATTAGAATAAGTCACTCGTTTTTCACAAAACATACATTCAAACACATTTTTCTATTTTCTTTTACATTGGAAAAACCTTGATATAAAATACATTAGTTTTGCATAACATTTTTTTAAATTACCTTAATGTTCCTACTTTTTTTACTATTGGTTGATGTTGATAAATAGAGACGAGACACCTCTTCTGTTCAGGGTCAAATGGACCCGTTCACTTAGAATCAAGCCAAATGAGTCGTAAGGATTTGTATTGAAAGTATTTTATTGTAACAGCAATTAATGTGTGTGTGGGGTAGTGTGTCCCCTTCTAGCCTCCACTTTCACTGCCAGGTGCGGGCTGTCTGTTTGTCTCTGTGTGTGGAAAGTTACGATGTGTGTGTGTATATATATATATATATATATATATACCGTATATCCCATTTGAGCCCTCTAACCCCTTCTAGCCTACTTTCACTGGTGTGTGTGTACATTTCTGACCCCTTTTAGCCTCCACTTGCACTGCCGGGTCAGATTGACCCGAATACCATCTCTGTGATATAGACATGTAGGGGGGGGGTTCCAAATGCATGACATGAACCATTTTCATTTTACTTGTTTATTGCACTAATTAAAGGTGGGGTAGGTAAGTTTGAGAAACCGGCTCGAGATACACTTGTTATATTCCATGGAATGCTCTTAACATCCCGATAGCAATGAATATCTTAAGTGCTTTGACAAAAAAATCCATAAAAAAATGTCATCTGTGGAAGCCGTAATACTGTCAAAAGTACAACCAATCATTTTAGCCGGCCCGGCTAAAATAACTGGATGGCCTACCTGCCTGTCACAGGTGTTTCTGTGCACAAACTTATCTCGTGCCCTCATTGGTCATGCGCGCGTTCGTGTGTGTTGGAGGGGCTCTATAAGGAAGTGGCAGATTTTCTCCGGTTGTGTATTTTCAAATTCTAGCGATCTCGAGCCGGTTTCTCAAACTTACCTACCCCACCTTTAAGGTAAGTAGAAGTTTCATAAAAAAAAAATACTTGAAAGTATTTTTCGTAGATTTTCTAACTTTCAAACGGGTCAATTTGACCCTGAATGTAACAGGAGGGTTAAGTTGGCTAGCCAAAACAGCCCTGATGTCCCATTTTCAAAATCAGCTCGAGGAATATATTATCTTAAAATGCATAAAACTACTGTTGAGCAAAAACCTGTACAAAATACATAAAAGTCTATACGTGACACAAATGGTGTGATATGTCAGTATAGTCCGAACATAGCTATACGTATAACCTATATACTTAGAATGTTCACCACGGGCCATCAGAACAGCTGCCGGTCACTAAACGCGCCTGGCAGTTCTTGGACAGTTGCAAGACTTCATTGTCCTTAAGGGTCCAATGGCATCTAAAACACTTTTAAACATTTGACTTAAAATAATCAACCACCTCACTGAGATGCTAGACCAGGGCTCTCCAACACGTCGATCGCGAGCTACCGGTAGCTCGCGGGCAGCTTTTCAGTAGCTCGCCGCTCGATTATCGATTATAGCGTAGTAAGGTTGCTTATTGATTTTTCGGCCGCGGCTGGACAATAACGTTTTTTTATTTTAGATTTTTTTCTGTCACACGAATATCAAATGGTCGGTGACGCAGAGATCAAGGAACAGACGTGACAGCAGCACAGCGACAACACACACGGAGCAGTCTGCTTTCTCCACCAGCACGAGTCCAGAACTAACAGCAGAATGACCCGCTCTGAATCAGGCCCTGTCGCTGCGCCTCAGAGACACACAGGGAGGGATTTGTGTTTTTTGAAAAACACTCGTTATCGTCATGTCAGGTTTTTGGTGAATTTAATCAAGTCTTGGATTGCAGAGTATGAATGTCCTCTTGCTATTTTCAGTTGATAAATACTTGTGTAAAGTTTGTGAAGGCAGGAGGAAAGCTTCCGCGATCACCGTCTCCTCTCCGTTCCTCCAAACCCCGCCCCCTCCCTGAAAATAATGAGTGACAGGCTGATAGTGACCCGATAGAAACTTTATTATTCACTTAATCACTGATTGAGATATGATGAAGCTAACTTAATCTCATACATTCATGGGATTTATGTAACAGTAAGACAGAGAATGTAAGTGTGCACCCACATGCACTATTTTTGTTTTTATAATGCTATTGTAAATAATCCTGCTGTTTTCAGACTCAAGTCATGTGTGTCTTTTTTTTAACAGAAGACCGTTGCTAGAAGCTGCAGCTAGACTGCAGAAGTATTAGTTTTTTGTTTTTGAGGATGGAACCATTTTCACACACAGATATAGGGAGGCTAGACCTATACAATTGATTTATTATGGTTTATAATTTAATGTCAAGACGAAGAAGAAGAAGAAAAAGATGGCTGAACAACTGTTCAGTGTCAATCCTGTGGAGATCTCCAAAATAATGTTCAGCTTAAGTCTCAGCAAAACTCACAACATTTCTGGAGCCTTGTAGACCCAGAAAACTATAAGAACATTCACCAAGCAGCACTGAAAATGTCTGCTTTATTTGGTTCTGTTCTACATACCTTTGTGAAGCAGCTTTTTCTGACATGAATGAAATCTAAATACAGAACAAGACCGACTGATGAACATTTAAATGACTCTATTAAGTGAACCTAAGTGGGTCCAGCATACACCTCTATGGTGGACTGTATGCAGTGCCATTAATCTCACTAACAAAAGAGTGAAATGCTTGTAAGGTGGTGATTAAGGACACTTATGTGAATGTTCAGTGATGTACTTATTATGTGGGCCATAATAATATGTGAGAAATCTTCGTTTTCTTGGACCTTATTTTTGATAAGCTTTAGGTATTGCAATTTCACACGTGTACAAAAGTATAGCTTAATTCAACTGATGAGGGCTATGTGAATAAATGTAAGCGATGTGATGCAAGTAGCTCTTGGCCACTTTCATTTTTTGAAAGTAGCTCTCAGATGAAGAAAGGTTGGAGACCCCTGCTCTACAGTCAGCATGTCGTTGTGTCCCTGAGACACTTCACCCCAAATGGCTCCTGTGGGGATTGTCCACAGTACTGAATGTATGTAAGTCGCTTTGGATAAAGCGTCTAACAAGTGACATGGAATGGAATGGAATGGAATGGAAGAGCATTATTGGCCCATGATCACCATGGAAAAGGTTTGAAAATGTTACTGATTTAATGGAAGATAAAAGAAGCAATTAGGGTGGTTCAAAAATAGTCATACTCGTGGGGATTTAGGTGGGCAGTGGGAAGACAAAGGTAGTCCTATTAACTAGGCAGAAGATAAGAGAAAATGGCATAAATATGTAGAGAGAAACACAAATAACCTGGAGTGAACATATGAATAAAATATATAAGAAATGTAAGATGGTTCTAAATAAAATTACATGTCTAAATGGGGAGCAAGTAGGAGTATGCTGAGGAATATTTATACATCTTTGATAAGATCAGAACTAAATTATGGATGTGTAGTATACGGGTCAGCAGAAAAATATTGCTATAGAAGCTGGAAGTCAGGTCATGCCGGGGGGGGCTATTCACACTTCCACTACAGAGAGAGAGAGAGAGAGAGAGAGAGAGAGAGAGAGAGAGAGAGAGAGAGAGAGAGAGAGAGAGAGAGAGAGAGAGAGAGAGAGAGAGAGAGAGAGAGAGAGAGAGAGAGAGAGAGAGAGAGAGAGAATAGTTGTACAAAATAAAGTAAGAAATCATTCCAAGTGTGAAGAGTGATTAGTAAAATATGCATAAATAGAAAGAGAGAATGCTAACTAGGTAACATAAGATTAGAATATGATCACAAATCATTTAAACTTGTTTATTCTTAAGATGTTTGGATTATTGAAAAGTATACAGCTCCCTTTCATCTGAGTGTTGAGAGCTGTATCCATAAATTCATGTTGTGCTCAAAGTGCACCAGATTGATGCATTTCACTTCAACATTTAAAAAAGAAATCTTCCCGGGGTGCATGCCCCCGGACCCCCCTAGAGGATGTGAGGTCCACCCCCAAATAAAGCAGGTTAAAATAATTAAATTGCAGACATGTTCTTCTAGTAAACACTGAAAACGGGTCCCACAGACCCAAACAGCACACAAAGGTTAAAGGTAAGCATATAATAATGTGTAATGAAACAAATACCAATAACTGTATTGCATTGTTTTCTTATGCGCAATTACTTCATACTGTCTTTGTCTTTTTCGTCCTGCATTTATTGTGCCCCCCTCAGAAAATAACTGGCCCCAGCCTGGCCCCCCCCAGTCAAATTGGTCTAGAACCGCCACTGCTTCGTAGACACTGACACGCACTGTGAATGATTATCCATTATACACTAACCATCTTTATCATGCACGCGCACTCACACAGGACGGTCACGGGGTTCACTGACTACGTTCTGCCAAATCACGCCCCCCATGAATCAAGTGTTCGGGAGTCCCGATGTAACTCCACCCTCCTCTGCCCCCCAGCACTGTGCATGTCTGCGGCATAACGCTGCGCGGTCATTTCCAGGTTG